TGTGCTACCAGTCAAGCCAAGATCGCATACTTGGTCAATGTGATGGAAATACAAACATTAGAAACACTGCCACCTCTAGTAAGAGCATAACACTTCAGTATCTTGGACTAGCAAAGAGGTGTACAAGAAAGTTAAGCCCACTCTTGCGGAACTTTGAACGCGAATATTTCAGAGTGGGGGAGGTCAACATGCTGTGGCACTTTTAAACCCACGAAACATCTGCAGAAAACAGGGTAAAGGCAAGTCAAGAAACACTGTTATGAAGGCCTGCGCATGGACAGCTTTGTGAATCTAGGCCCAAGTGTTATGCTTTGTGCAAGCCAAAATCCATGTTAATAGGGAAAGCATACTTTTAGGAGTACCAGCGTAAAGAAATCTTGGCAGTTGGCTTTTTAGTACAAACAGCAATCCCTGCAATGAAAACATAAACATTTTATCTTAACGGTAACAGTGTGAGCACGCACACGGGCCAGCGGAGCCATGTCGAATTGTCAGTGCCAGTGTAACCATGTGGCATAATGAACTATTCTCTGGCCAACACATGCACAGTTTGCCCCTAAAAAGCGATGCTTTCATATACGTAGTACAAAAAGTCTGCACTTACCAAAATTCACTTGCTTTCTGTACTTTAGCATCGTTGGGAGCATCTTTATCTGCAGTATAACCAAATTTGTGTCATATCCCTGAAAAAAAAGTAAAAGACATGCATCAAATATTGTTTCATTTGGTAGCAGTGAAGTCAGGTTAAGAACAGCCAAGTGGGAATCAGCCTAATTATGTGCATGTGGCAAATCCCAAACGGCATTATTGAGGTTGTCGAAATTTTCGTCGATTGGTATTAACGTCGATATGCGACTTCAACGGCATGCCAAGTTTTCGCAGCGCATAAAGATTTCATGATGCAGAATAATGACAGCGCTAACGAGAACATATAGCATTTATGATTGTCTTTTACAATATTCAGTTTTGCATCACTAAAGAAATCTGAAAGATTTGGGTCATTCCTCCTCCAATTGTTCTGTCAATATGTAAACTGCTCGCTTGATGGTGCGCTTATAAAATAGTACGTTCAGCGCAGAGGTGAAGCAAGTGACGCAGTGATGTGGGCAGATTTTTTTTTTTAGGCGTGCGGGGAGGGGGGGGGGGGGGGTCCGCTTATCTGAATAGGCCGGGCAAACGAATATGGTCGTCAATTTGGGCTCCCTACGCCCGGCCTAAAAAAATTCTGTGCGCAACCGCCTGGCTATGCCAGTGAAGTGATGCGACAATGAATTGTTCACTTACTGATTTACATACACTTTGCATCTCTAAAAAATGCGGCCCAAGGCCCCAACACTCAGCCGTTAACATTACATAAAGCCAATGGTAGAAAAGTGCCAGTATGAATGCAGCTACAACCCCGCCCCAATGTTTTTTCAAGCGAGGTAGTGTTGCGGAAATGAACTTTTAACTGCAAAAGTACACTGGCACTGCAGTGGTGACAGGGGAAGCAAGAGGGTATGCAGGCGGTAATAGAGGTAATTTAGTCCGATACGGCTAGCAATGGATACGGTGAATAAGAGCAAATCATTTCTCTTTCAATAGCGCAACCACTCAACAATGTATTGTAAGAGCATTAAATGTTGCTGGAAATGCCACTCACCTGCACGCTGATGCATGCACAGTCCTTTGTCCGACGAGCGAACAGGCTTGCAGATAGCTGAAGACGTGTTTACGATGTGTTTGTTCCACCCAGCAGCAAAATCCACAACTACTTCGCGCTCCATAAAGATAAATATACACTAACCTTCATCACGAATAAGTAGAAACGCAAATCTGCGACACACACACACGATCAAAACATAGCTCACAAGCCCGCACGTCCATGTGCTCGCCAACCACAGACCATATGAAAAGGAGTAAGTAGTGCGAACGCGAACCTAGTTGCGCCGAAAAAAAAAAAAAACGTCGAGCAGTGGCAGCACAGGCGTCAGCGCAATAATTTCGGTGTGTTCTCCTAATACAATTATAAAAAAAAAGTGAGGTACACTAAAACTCATAAATAAATATAAAAAGTTGAGTGTAATTTTTATTTAGTGCTAGTCAACATAAACACTGAATAAAAATTACTTTGTAACTTACATCGTTTGCTACACTAGCGCCACACTTGTCGTGCGGGCGCAGATGGCGCAGATTTGTCATTCTGCCCTCAAACTACACGGTGAAGCGTGCTACTAAGTGTATGGCTGATGAAAAGCGCGTCTGGGTCCGCTTTTTTTTTTTTTTCTTCTCCGATATATCTGAGCGGGGGGGGGGGGGGCGGGGCTCATTATGCACGTGTTTCGGTGCTTGATCGACTTTGACGCCCTTACTTCGCGGACGAACGGCGTGTCTAGGCTTTTTTTATCGTTGTTTTGCACGTGTTTCGGCGTTCGGTCCGCTTTGACGTGCCAACTCTCCATTCTGCTGCTGCGTGTGTTAGGTATTTGCCGTACTGTATTCTCAGGCCTTCTGTGTTCAGCCAGCGCTGCTATCTTATTATCTACGGATGCTAAAATAAATCACTGTTTTGGTTTGGTGAAGTTTGGCACACAGAAAAAACAATAATCTGGCCCATGAATATCAATGTGGGCGGCATGCATATTTGTGTGCGGTGTCTTGCCGGGGAGTAACCGTTGCGTGACGAGAGCATTTACAGCGGTTCCTCCTTCCGTTGCTCCCTTACAAACTTAAGATGAATACAGTTGCTCCCCCATTCTCGAACAAGTCGGCCATCTTGTTCCGCTTGGTCTTTTCGGAGAGTAACAGTCGGTCTGAAGGAGTAAAAACAGCCGTTGCTCCCATTTTGGCCATTTTTGGCTTAGAGTGTACTGTATGCAACTGAAAATAATAATTGGGTCATTTTTGCGTACTTTCACTATCAATATTTCGAACTATATTGTGTATACGATATTCACCAAATAAAATAAAAAATAATATCAACTATTCTTTTCTTAGACTCATTCTTAGCTTGCTCTGTTTGATTATTGTTCTAAAAATTTACCCTTTGAATGAGTGTCAGCCCCTTGTTCGATTAAACAATAGTTTCACCATGTTTCCCCGGGCCACCAGTTTTGCCGTAACCTCTTCTGCTGCGTCTGTTATTGTGACCTTCTTCGTTTGGCTGTAGTCAGCGATAGTATATTTGTACACGTTTCTTCGTTTTATAGCATGAATATAATTTCGCTCCTAGTAGTCTGCAAGAAAAACGAGTATGATTCTATTATGACAGTCGAAATGACCGCCGCCTGTAAAGCGTATCCCTATCGACAATGGTAACGGGCGGCACTACTATTCATTTTCTTTAACAACTTGCAATTGATTTAAAAGTGAATAAATGAATTCAACTTTGTTAATAATTGCGTATTGACCTTTAAAAAGTAAACTGTGTCTACAGTTAACCATTCTCGACACTCGAATGCTAACCACTCAAATGTTGACCATAACCTGAATGATGTAATGTTTAAAAATTAGCAGAGTGGAATAGCCCCCTGATACAGTCTATTTGAGAGTACCACACTGTCTTCAAGGAAACCTACAATCCCGCCTTTAGATTCAGAAATGCCTTATCAGTGTTTTTTTATGCTGTAAAGTTTCATAGAGAATATCATTAAGACAGTGACCCATATGACCCATATACCTCCTGCTGCATGTCAGTGATTGTGTACATTATGCCTTTAACACAGGTTACATACTTCTGCCTGTGATGAGCACGGCAGTGTTTCCTTCCTTTCATCTGATCAATGAATCTGCATAGGTCGGAAAGTGACCACTTGCGACTCGTTGCCGACAACATATTGAAGCTTTTTATCGCTTTGAAGTTGTAACTGGTCACTCTGCAGGAGGCAGCCACGGATCACGCATGGTGACACCAGCTTAATTTTGTTACCACTGGCAGCTCTTCCCGGTTCGGCACGGAACCAAGGTATCCACCTTCGGAGAGGTTCGGAGGCTCACGCTCGGAAACGCACGGTCACTCGATGACGTAAGAAGCACGTGAGATTCATCAGCTCAACCAAACACATACTGCTCGAGCTTCTTGCACCACCTGTCTCCAGGGCCACCCGACAGTTAAAGCGAATGATTTGTAAAAATCTGCAAGGCAACTTTCTAGCACAAGCTTTTTTTTCTTGGATCAGGCCCTTTTTTTCGTTCACAGAATGCTTTCCTCACTCATTGTGCTTATGTTGTTCCCAGTTGCGGTGAAAGTGTGTTGACTCTATGTGTCAGCGATGAGGCGTGACAATGCTTTACCAAACTTTGAAGAAAAAAAACATCTGTGGTCTTCCCATGCCTTTACAATTTACTGAGAGCGTCACTGATGGCTATAGGGTGGGGTGGAGCGTGGGGTATGGGGAAAAAGCTGCCAAAGCGCAGTCACGTGGTAAAAACCCTGAAACACAGGTTAAATCTCACGTGGTAGAAAACTCCCGATGAGGTAAAATTGAATTTTGAAATCGTCTTACCTCGTGCATCAGCAGTAGTGGTGAAACTATGTCATGTTTCATCTTTTACTCCAACACGAGGTAGTAATCTTAAACGCGAGAGAGTTTTCAGAGGTCATGAGCCACCAGACACCAAAGTCTGATAGTTTTTGCTTACAGCGTAATGACAAGAACAGATGTTCAAAGTTTCATTGATATCGGTGAGCATCTAAAAAAAGCCCGAGTTTAACTCCCATTGCTCATCGAACAATGGGAGTTTAACTCCCATTGCTCATCCCATTGCTCATCGTTGGTTGAGCGGTTTCACAACAGCTCAGCATTCGGACCTCAAATCTCCATCAAAACTGTGAGTAATAATCTAAATTTCCTCGCATGGTTTTATGAGGCTTCGGAGCACTTCGAGGAGCACGGTTTAGCCATCCAAATCAGTTACAACTTGAGAAATTAACGACTCATACTTCGGGTAGGCCTAACAACAGCAGCCACTAGCTCCACTTCGATCAAATCAGGAATTCCGCAAGAAAAGCTACTACGCACCTGGAAAACCACCCTCGATTCTTCTTGGGACGTTCCGGACCCTCGCCGCTACCATCTTATCTTGAATCTGCGGGAAAAAACGGTTTTTCTTCACCGAAAATCAACTGTGAGTAACACGTGTATCCGCCCTATGGGGGCTGCCATGTTGACAGGGGACTTCAGCACCTGCCCCCTCGTGCTCAAAGATCGAATAAAAAGGCAAAAGATCACAAAAAATATTGGTAACATTACTAAATCACGCAAAAGGAGGATTTCGGGCTCTGAGCACAATCTTACCAGTTTCTGACCGGCGAAAACAAACCCACAAGCAATTTTTCCCACCTTATGACCATATAGGGGCCGCCATCTTGTGTGGGACCAAGCCACTTTGAGGACAACGAGTCATATCTCGGCTTTTACACACCCCAGGACGACAAATCAGGTCTCAATTGAGTCGTTAAAATCCAGAGATAGCCGTAGAAAAAACCGCGAGCGCCCAATTCAGCTGAGAGCGTTAAAAAGACTTATTCAGAAGACACACTCAGTGTTGCCGGACTGCTGCCACTGCTTGAGCTGGGTTTGGCGAAACAGCTTCCACAGCGAATTAAGCCCACCGGAACTGCTCTTCCACCTCTTAGCCAATAAGCACAGATTATTCCAACTGCGGGATCGGGAGCGGCCGCGTCAGCAGCACGGGTAAGTGAGCTCTGCACATATCTACCTATAACATAACTACCTATAACTTTAGCAATTTTGGTCCTAGGAGGGTCAGAGTGGTGTCTATCTGTTCGTGAAGATACAAGGAGTTCAACCGCTACAAATACTGCTATTACAAACGAACATTTTAAATTTTAGGAACGGAAAACAGTGTGAATCTGTGAAAACAACAACAGTCGGACCACGTGCCCGGTGCCGCGCAGTTCCCAACCGGAAAAAAAATCGCGTGTTGATGGAACTACAATACGAGGCCTGAGGTGCGGCCTCACCAGTAACCACCGCCGGGAACGCACTCCCTCACCAGAGAAGGATTGGCCACCCTGGTGCAGTATCTGGCCACTACCTCCCACATGGATACGCCTAATAACTCACGGCCCTCAGTCCTCAGCAGCTGCGAAGCAACTGACTACGGCGGCGGTCAGATCTGCAACGCAGCAGAGGGTGCTAAGAATCTCTGGACTACAGGCCGCCATTGGAACCTGAACTTGGCAACGTTTAACGCTAGAACCTTATCTAGTGAGGGAAGTCTAGCTGTACTATTCGAAGAGCTAGAGGGTGTTAAATGGGATATAATAAGGCTCGGTGAGGTTAGGAGGACAGATGAGGCCTATACGGTGCTACAGAATGGGCACGTCCTTTGCTATCGGGGCTTGGCAGACAGAAGAGAACTGGGAGTGGGGTTCCTAATTCACAGAAACATAGCTGGCAACATAGAGGAATATTATAGCATTAATGAAAGGGTGGTAGGTATTGTAATTAAACTGAATAAAAGATACAAGATGAAGGTAGTACAGGCTTACGCGCCTACATCCAGCCATGATGACGCTTCAGTTGAAAGCTTCTATGAAGACGTGGAATCGGCAATGAGTAAGGTAAAAACACAGTATACTATAGTGATGGGCGACTTTAATGCAAAGGTAGGGAAGAAGCAGGCTGGAGACCAGGCAGTAGGAGATTATGGCATCGGCACTAGAAACGCCAGAGGAGAGCTACTAGTAGAATTCGCAGAACGCAATTATTTGCGGATTTTGAATACCTTCTACCGAAAACGTGAAAACCGCAAGTGGACATGGAGGAGCCCTAATGGCGAAAATAAGAACGAAATAGACTTTATAATGACCGCACACCCAGGAATCGTGCAGGATGTGGAAGTGGTTGGCAAGGTACGATGCAGTGACCATAGAATGGTACGGTCTCGGATTCGCCTAGACTTGAAGAAGGAACGACAGAAACTGATACGCAAGAAGCCAATCAATGAGATAGCACTGAGAGGGAAAGTACAGGAATTCAGAGTGTCGCTGCAGAACAGGTACTCGGCTCTGAGTGAGGAAACCAACCTTAGCGTAGATACAATGAATGATAATCTGACGAGTATCATTACGGAGTGTGCAGTGGAAGTTGGAGGCAGGGTAGTTAGACAGGACACTGGCAAGCTTTCCCAGGAAACGAAGAACCTAATTAAGAAGCCTCAAACCATGAAAGTGTCAAGTACAACAGACGAAATAGAACTGGCAGAGCTTTCGAAGTTGATTAATAGACGTAAAGTATGCGATGTAAGAAGGTATAACATGGAGAGAATTGAACACGCTCTGAAAAACGGAGGAAGCTTCAAAGCAGTGAAGAGGAAACTTGGGATAGGCAAAAGTCGGATGTATGCACTAAGGGACAAAGAAGGCAAAATAACTACCAATATGGATAGGATAGTTAAAATAGCGGAGGAGGTTTACAGAGATCTGTACAGTAGCCGAGACAACCACGACCTTAATACTATAAGAACTAGCAGTAAACCAGACGACACCCCACCAGTAATGATAGAAGAAGTCAGAAAAGCTTTGGAGAGCATGCAAAGAGGCAAAGCTGCTGGTGAGGATCAGGTAACATCAGATCTGCTGAAAGATGGAGGACAGAATGTGTTAGAAAAACTAGCCACCCTGTTTATGAGGTGTCTCCTGACGGGAAGGGTACCAGAGTCTTGGAAGAACGCTAACATCATCTTAATACATGAGAAAGGAGATGACAAGGACTTGAAGAATTACAGGCCGATCAGCTTGCTCTCTGTAGTGTACAAGCTATTTACAAAGGTAATTGCTAACAGAGTAAGAAAACATTAGAATTCAATCAACCAAAGGAACAAGCAGGATTTCGAACAGGCTACTCAACAATTGACCACATTCATACTATCAATCAGGTAATAGAGAAATGCTCAGAGTATAACCAACCACTATACATAGCCTTCATAGATTACGAGAAGGCGTTTGATTCAGTAGAAATATCAGCCGTCATGCAGACACTGCGGAATCAGGGCGTAGATGAAGTATATATAAACATTATGGAAGAAATCTACAGGGGATCAACTGCTACTATAGTGCTTCATAAAGAAAGCAACAGAATACCAATCAAGAAGGGTGTAAGGCAGGGGGACACAATCTCCCCAATGCTATTTACCGCGTGCTTACAGGAGGTTTTCAGAAGCCTAGAATGGGAACAGTTAGGGATAAGAGTTAATGGAGAATATATACCTTAGTAACCTGCGCTTCGCCGATGACATTGCATTGCTGAGTAACTCAGGGGGCGAATTGCGACTCATGATTACAGAGTTACACAGGGAGAGCAGAAAGGTGGGTCTTAAAATTAATCTGCAGAAAACGAAAGTAATGTACAACAACCTCGGAAAGGAACAGCGCTTCGAGATAGGTAATAGTGCACTCTAAGTTGTAAAAGACTATGTCTACTTAGGGCAGGTAATAACCGCAGGGCCTAACCACGAGATTGAAATAACTAGAAGAATAAGAATGGGATGGAGCACATTCGGCAAGCACTCTCAAATTATGACAGGTAGATTGCCATTATCCCTTAAGAGGAAGGTATAGAACAGCTGTGTCTTGCCGGTACTTAGCTACGGAGCAGAAACCTGGAAACTCACAAAGAGGATTCAGCTTAAATTGAGGACGACGCAGCGAGCAATGCAAAGAAAAATGGTAGGTGTAACCTTGAGAGACAAGAAGAGAGCGGAGTGGATTAGGGGACAAACGGGGGTTAAGGATATCATAGTTGAAATAAAGAAGAGGAAATGGACATGGGCCGGGCATGTAGCGCGTAGACAGGATAACCGCTGGTCATTAAGAGTAATTAACTGGATTCCCAGAGAAGGAAAGCGGGTTAGGGGAAGACAGAAGGTTAGGTGGGCAGATGAAATTAAGAAGTTTACGGGTATAAATTGGCAGCAGCAAGCACAGGACCGGGTTAACTGGCGGAACATGGGAGAGGCCTTTGTCCTGCAGTAGACGTAGCCAGGCTGATGATGATGATGATGATAATGATGATGCTCATCGAAAGGCACCCGGCTGGAGCAAATCTTGGTGGCAGCAGCGCTAACTATGCCAAAAACATTAAGTACAAGCAATGAATGCGTGAAAAAGGATCACCGCCAGCGAATGATATATTAGAGGAGCTTACTCGGAGGTGCAGGGTACGTTTCGTTGCGCGACCATTTCTGTAGGAAGGCTTGTCAAGGAGCCGACGTTAGATGTGTAAGTCGAAGGCAGCGTTGTTGGGCACGTTCCGCGGCTTGCAATGCACACTGTTGGCCACATCAGTCGGCACGCTACCAATTGCCCCTTTATGCCACAGTGATCGCTGCTTTGAGTCCAATGGCTAACGTTCATAAACAGCAGACGTACAGCTATCGGTGTTTTTAAATGGGCTTGAGGGCAGGCACGTGAGAGGGCTTGCGATAATATCGGTGCCCGTGCACAACACTCGTCGTAGGAACTTCTCACGTGTTGTCATGCATAACAATTGACGATCCTTGCCCTGCCTGACAGTTTTTTAGGGGCAAAGCTTCTTAGAGTGTGGATCGTTCCTTCCTTCGTCAATAGTAGATAGTATAGAAGGGTTCATAGGCGGGCTAGGTGGTATATATTCATTATAAAATATTGGGAACACAAACTAACGGTGCGCAAAAGAGGAGACAACCGAGCGCAGTGGATGCCAACGTGACCCCTAACAGCTATTTTCACATTATACTCGTGATCTTTCAACTTTATATCTATGCACCTTCCTGTTTGGCCCACGTATCTTTTCCCGCAGGACAGCGCGCTAGAATACACTACATTTTCCGCGAATTGTCTGAGGCTAGATTTATGATTTATTGCGCAGAGCTTCTGCTTGTTCGCTGCTTTGTTTGCTTGCGCCAGAAGGACGTTGCTACCTTTAGATTTCTGTCATTCTAAGTTGAAGAGACCTATTGCCACAACGTGCTTTATTATCGCCTTGAAGAAGTATTGTTGCCACTTAATTTCAGATAGCTTCAGCAAACAGGTAGAACGCCTAAAATGGGTGATGACATGGTCACCCATCAATTGACAGTTTTCAAAAAGAAACGAAGGTAAAGTGTCAAATATGCTTGAACGCGCGTGAAAAATGAACTGTAAGAGACTATTTCAGTCCAAAATAAGCCGTAGAAGTCATCGGCTGT